TTTTAACTGGATTTTTGTAAGTGCAATTGTAATAAATCATTTTTGTATTAAGTGATACCTGCACTATTATCTGGTTCTCTTTCCATTATTAAGTGACAAAGAAGATCTCCTCCCATATTGCTCTGAAGATTTTCTCCAGATTGGGATGATGAGCCTGATATTCACTTACATTTTTCCTCATTTTCATTGCGTGTCTTTATAAATACGCTTTTATCACACTGTGTGCGGTTTATATATCTCTTACAGATACTGCTAAATACGCTACCATACTAAAAGGTTATATTTTTACTCTATTTGCATCGTAAGAACCATCATTCCATTTTTTGCATCCCTACTTATCTACATGTTTCACAGGTAATCCCCACTTTATGTTCTTAGTTCTAAGGATGTCATGTGTTCATTTAAATTCTCTTCTCAACTGTCGGGTTCTGATGGAGACATCTTGATAAAAGTTTAGATTTTGGAATTTTCTTTCCTCAGTATGAAAGTTTCTTGCAGTAGAAGATTATTATTAAGATTATTTGTTTTATGAAGCATGAATTTAATCTTATAATGATGTCACATGGTACTTCATCTGGGAGATAGCTGGGTTTTGGGAGGCTATGGACTCTTTCTATTACTTCTTCACCATGAGCCTCTTGGACCTTCATGTCCATGAATAGTGCCATTAAATAGGGTCTAATTGCATTTCAAATTGGAGTGCTTCAATTTTGTATTCATTTTCTTTAATTATTTTGTGCATTTTAGTCATTTCCTGTTTGAGGTCACTCATATGTATTTTAAGTTCTTCCTTAATTTGACTTAATTGCATAGCTAAACATTGTTTAATATATTCTTGCATTACATATTGTGAATCTGGTGATTTTGGACTTGATGTTTTTGAGCTGTGAGCTTCAACTTCATTAGTATCTATGATATCTGTAGTATTAGAGGGATTATGTTCTGTCATTAATAACCTGGGTTTAGGCTCTGTTGGTTTAGGAGAGGGAAAATTTAGAAAGTCTCCTTTCACCTTTCTGGGGGTTCTCCTCCTTTTTCTGGTTTGGTCTCTGTAGCTTTTTTATTTACCATTTTTGTTGTTCCTAGATCAATCCTAGTTATTCATCCTTGCTTCCCATTATCTAGAGAAGGACTCTTTAAGACAAGGGGAGAGTTTTACTTTTTGCCCCGCACTTTTCCAGAAGGGTTATACTCATTTATATTCTCAATATATTATAAAAAAAAAATATTTTTTAAAACTTTTTGTTTTTTACGTTAACCCCCAGATAGCCTAACAACAAATTCTCCCCTAACTTCCACCCATCCCAGCCAGGGCCGGTGCAAGGATTTTTGCTGCCTTAGGCAAAAGAAAAATTTGCCACCAACCCCCCCTCCCGATGTGACATCATAATGCCCCACCCATATGATCTGCCATATGAATTAACGCCAGTGCTGCATTGCACACAGTGTGTGTTTACATTAAAAAGTATGCAGGGACAGTGTAAGAAATATGAAATAGTTTCCTTGTTTATATGTATTTTATGCTTTTATAAGGTTTATAACATGATTATTGCTGACTGAAAGGATATTAAATACTTAAACTCAATTTACGACATAATATGCTGACTGTGACAGACTAAGGTATTTCTTCTATAGGATGTAAGACAATGCTAAAATTTCAGGATGTCTTGCCCATTCCGATTTCAGGATATTCTTTTCCAGACGTATGCAAAAAACTTATCTTTCCATTGTCAGAATAACATGTAATATATAAGGAAGTAATAAATCGTATAATCTGTATTGTATTGCATATCTCATGACTAAGGTAAACAAAACTGTATAAATGCTAGCTTCACAGTAATACAGACTGAGAACTTGTTAAGCACCTTTTCGTGTCTGTCTGTTATTTGCTAAGCAAGTCTCTCCCGTCAATTGATGTGGTGAACTAGGATCGAGAACCGAGGGGAGTTGAGTCCAGGACAGCATTAACCCTTTCAGCTTGGTGTCAGAAGTGGGATCAGCAAAATCATTGGGTAAGTAGCCTTTTTGTGTCTTATTTGACGCTGATTGTCTATGACCCCTTTGGTTTAGTAAGACTGTACCCAGTACATAGGAAAGGTGTAAGGACTCTAGTTATATTGAGACTGTAAATAGGTCTCCGGTTTATTAGACATTTGGTCTAAGTATATATAGGGTTTTGGTAACCCAGGTTATTATCTAAGATAGATACAGGGTATCTCAGGTAGATACAGGTTTTGAGACTATAAAGGAGTCTCCGGTTTATTAAGACTATAGGTGTTCTAGGGAACACGGTTTATAGATCTAGAATAACCCAAACTTCTCGTTTCTCTGGTCACCTTGTGTGTTTTGTGTTTATTTTGCTTGTTAAGTAGAGACACACTATTGGTAAGTAGGTAGTGTCTCTACCCTGAGCCAGAAATATGGGAAATAAACTGTCTATTTCTTACCCTTTACCTCACCCAGGGGAGTCATGTCTAAATTATGTTACTAGAGTTGGAGCACAAGGAGGATTTCTTACTATCCCCTTTGTGTCAAATGTAGCAGGATGGACAGAGACTATGAAGTCATCTGATCCTTTTCCCAGGTGTGGGGCTAATGATGATTTCCATATGAATATGATTCGAGGATTGTGTTTGGGAGATAGGAAGTCATGGCCGTGGTATGGTCCTGATCCAGATTGGGATAAGGAATATATGAAAGCAGGAGGTGAAAATTGGTTGCAGATAGCCCCTCACTGGTTTCCTTGTAGTGTAACAGGAAAGGTTTTAAAGGGAGCTAAGAAACACCTGGCTAAGAGAAAGGGAACTGTTGACAGTAATACCATTCACTTTCCCATAGGAGCCCCTCCTGAGAATCTATATTCATCACCAATTGTGCCCCCTACCCAGTCAGCCCCCGGCCATGCCAAACCACAACCCCCACCTCCCTATAAAGCAATGTATCCTGCTTTACCTAATGCCCCCTCAGAAGATGATGTAGAGGATGTTTGTATTGCTGCAGCTGTTAATTCACAATCACAACAATTACAGCGATTGCAGGAATCATCATCTACACCAGATTCTGATATAGAATATCCACCGTCACCTCCTGGTCCAATTAAACTAACAGTACAAACGGGAATTAAACTTAAAAGTGGCAAGATGTTAAAAACATATGTACATAAACAAGATGATGATGATGTAGAGATGCCAGAATTAGAAGGTGCTGATCTTACTGCCCCATTTATGACTGTTGGTAATCAGTTAATAGTGAAACCTATTAATCCCGGAGTACTCAAGGACATTATTCAAGGTGCCCCAAACCCCCGTACTAATCCCTCTGCATGCCTAATGTATTTGAAAAGAATGTGCTTAGGACAGAACATGACACAGATAGATATACAGTTAATTATAAATGGAATATTAGGGTATGACTCAGATTCTGGTTGGGATTGGTCTAAGGTACCCTCTATTAGTGAGACAGACAATGGTACTGAAGTTGGAGAGGCTGGTAGTGATGGTGGTTATGAGCTTAGTACTTCAGCAGGATGTGCTAAAATGTGGAATGAGGTGGAAGTTGAAATGTTGAGATTATGGAAGAATAAGCAGTCTATATCCACTGCTTTGGCATGTAAGCAAGGTGCAAAGGAAGAGATTGGTATTTTTTAAAAAAGATTTTACAAATGTTGGAAGGATGAGGCAGGTTTGAAGTCTGGAGAGGATATGGATCTCCTTAAAATACAGTCATGCCTTGGTAATATGTTGCCACAGTATTCTTTGCTTGTGAAACAATTAATTTCAGACTGGGCCAATTTGGATGGCTCAGATTTTCTTACCAAGGTTATAGAAAAGGAAAATGCAGGTTGTTTTGACTTAAGGAAAGATTCAGGAAGTAAGGGTGCTTATTATGCTCAGGGATTGCAACACTGTCCACCTACACAGGCCCGAGAGAGAGGATGGGATGGAGCACATAGAGCCCGTGGAAGGGGTGGTCAAAGAGGGGCAAGGGGATGGAGACAGGGAAATCAAGGTTATAGGGGCAGGGGTAACCAAGGAGGAATAGACAGGAACACTTGTTTCAACTGTGGGCAGAATGGCCACTGGAGGAATGAGTGTCCACACCCCAGGAAACCCCAGCAGCCCCAACAACCCTACAATTCTCAAAATATGCCCGGTAGGCAAGAACAACACCAGGCCCACTCAAAACACCACTGGCCAGCACTCCCCCCTGCCCCCTCTCTCCAGCAAGCCCAAACTGCACTAGGGTCATTCACAGGTACCACTGACCAGCACACCCATCACATCCCATGGCCCCAATAGGGATGCCTTGAAGGTGACACTCTAACTTTTCCACTTTTGTCCTCTACTAATGATGATCAGCCTTTTTGCATTCTGGTCATAGAAGGTAGATCCTTGCCATTTTTGGTAGATACTGGAGCTACGTGTTCCAGTCTCTGTGATCAGGGGACAAGGAAAAAGTCTACACCTTCATTGGGTATTAATGGAGTGTCAACACCCACTTTTGTCACACCACCACTGTCTGTTTTCTGTCCTCTTAATGGTTCTTCTACTATGCACCCTTTTCGTATAATACCTAAATGTCCTGTTAATTTGCTGGGAAGGGATCTTCTTGGTATTCTGGGAGCTACTATTACTTGCACGCCCTCTGGTGGTATTGATGTGTCTATGTTGTGTTCTGAAACTATTGATTTGTCTGCTGTTCCTTCCTCTGTGTGGGCTTCATCTAAGTTAGATGTAGGATTTGTCAACTGCACCCCTTACAAAGCCAAACTAAAATCAGATGTAACTCCTATCTACCTTAAACAGTACCCTTTGACAGAAGCCAAGCTTGAGGGAGTTCGTCCCATGATCCAATCTTTTCTAGAACAGGGAATACTAAAGCCAGTAGTTTCCCCATATAACACACCTATTAATCCAGTTCCTAAAGGTAATGGTTATCGCTTAGTTCAGGACTTTAGAGCCCTGAATAATTTAATTGTGCCCATTGCACCCATTGTCCCTGATGTGACATCCCTCATTACAGCCATTCCACATGATGCCACTTGCTTCACTGTCATTGATTTAAGTAATGCATTTTTTTCTATACCTATTGATCAAGAGACACAGCTACTTATGGCTTTTACTTTTGAAGGCTGTCAGTATACCTGGACACGTTTACCCCAAGGCTATGTGGATTCCCCAGCTGTTTATTCGCTGGTACTCCAACATACTCTAAAAACATGGACCCCCGGTCATGGTTCCGTCCTTTTGCAATATGTTGATGATTTGTTGTTATGTAGCCCTAGCTATGAGGCAAGCACTGTGGATACTGTCAGTTTGCTCAGACACTTAGCAACTGTGGGTCACAAGGTTGCAAAACACAAAATGCAATTGTGTAAATCAAAGGTTGATTACTTAGGTTTTGTTCTGGCTTCAGGCACCAGACAATTGAGTCCAAAACGTATTGAGGTCATTCAGAGGATTCCTAAACCCACTACTCGGAAGGAGTTGCTCACCTTCCTCGGCATGATTAATTACTGCCGCCAATGGATCCCTGAATGCTCTCATTATGACTCAATCCTAAGGGAGGCTGTACGTTCTGACAGCCCTGAAAATGTCTGCTGGTCACCAGACATGTTAGCTGCGTATATAGCCCTCAAAGTTGCTATTGTGCAAGCCCCGGCTTTAGGACTACCTGTGTATTGTAAACCATTTCATTTGTATGCTCGGGACAACTGTAAAACCATGGCCGCGGTCTGTGCACAAGAGCACGGAGGCGGTATGCGTCCCATAGCATTCTTTTCCAAAATATTTCCAGCTACGGTACAGGGTATGCCGGCGTGTCTCAGAGCATTGGCAGCATGTGCAATGGCTGTTGAGACTGCTACTACTATCACACTAGGGCATCCTACAATACTCCATACCAGTCACCAGGTCACTCAGCTTATAAAAAATATCACCACACAACTCATGACAGCCCAGCGTTTAAGTGGTTATGAGATTATTCTTCTTAATACCCAGAATCTGTCTATTGTGTATAGTCCTGTTAATTCTGGTCCTATGTCTGTTTTGCATGCTATTCTTACTTCTGCATCTGACTCTGTGTCTATACCATCTGAGCCTCATAATTGCATTGAACAAATACATATTGCCACATCTCCCAGAGCAGACCTCTCCTCCACAGCACTCAGTGGCCCCGATGTGACCACTGTCTTTGTGGATGGCTCTTGCTCCAGACCAAATGATGGTACGTACCTCACAGGCTATGCCGTGGTACAGCTACCTGATAAAATCATTGAAGCTGACACTATTTTCCAGCCGTCTGCACAAGCTGCAGAGCTCATTGCTCTCACACGTGCCTGTCAGATTTTCTCAGGACAGCGAGTGAACATTTACACAGACTCACGATATGCTCATGGGGTAGTGCATGATTTTGGTGTGATCTGGAAACAAAGAGGTTTTGTAGGAGCCGATGGAAAAGCCATTTCACACACAAATCTCATCCAATCACTCCTAGATGCTATCCTACTCCCATCTGAAGTAGCTGTTATCCACTGCAAGGCACACACTCTGGGTAGTGATGACATTTCAAGAGGAAATGCCTTGGCTGACAAAGTAGCAAAAGAAGCTGCAGCCAAGATTGTTTACTATAAAATGTTTCCTGCTATGCTTAAACCACCCACATGCCCTACTGACAGTTTGCTTTTGCAGCTTCAAGCCTTTGCAACGCAATCTGACTTGGATTTTTGGATTAAACAAGGTTTAGAAAAAGATCAGAATGATCTTTTCTCTAAAGAGGGGAAGATAGGCATACCTGAAGCAAGTTGTTTTATTTTCATCAGTCAGGCACATGGTCCTGGCCACAAAAGCATAGCAAGTACCATCCAATTCCTCATGAATTCATTTTATATTAGGAATCTCAGGCAGCATGTACAGTCTTTTGTAAGATCATGTGAACCATGTATGAGAACACATCCAAATATTCCACACAAATCACAGCACTAACATTTGCCCCCTCCAGCTGCTCCTTTTACACACTTACAGATTGATTTTACTCATGTACCCAAAATTGGTAAGAAACAGCAATACTTACTGGTCATAGTTGATCAGTTTAGTAGATGGCCCGAAGCCTTTGTGACATCCAGGGAAGATGCTAGGACTGTAGTGAAGATTCTTGCTACTGAAATTATTCCCAGGTATGGCTGCCCTCTGCAGATTAACTCTGATAATGGCCCGGCTTTTGCCAGTAAGGTTACCCAGGAACTTGCTAAATTCTTGCAAGTTACCTGGAAGTTTCATATACCCTATCATCCACAGAGTTCAGGGGTAGTTGAAAGGATGAATAGGACCATTAAGGAGAAAGCTACTGCAGGAACATGGGTAAATTGGACAAAATATCTACCAGCTATTTTAGCTGAGATAAGAATGACTCCCCACAAGGTGACTAAATTATCTCCATTTGAGATTCTAATGGGACGACCTTTTCCCACACCCTGGGCCAGGGAACCGCTTGTTATAATGTCTGGGGATTTACAGCTAATACAAGAACAATATGTACAGGAATTGTTGATAAAACTGAATGGTATATATGGCAATGTTTCTTCGCAGTTTCCCTTACCTTCACAGGAACCTACTCATCCATACCAGCCTGGTGACAAGGTGTATATCCGTCAGCTGAACAGGACCAAGAAAGGAGGATACCCTTTTGGACCACCTGCTACTGTGATTGCTGTAACCAGAACCGCTGTCCTCACAGATTCCCATGACATCTGGATTCATGCATCCCGAGTGAAGCTGTGTCCAAAGAGGGGAGCCAAGGAAGACAACACCACTCCTCACTCGGAAACAGAAGAAGTCCCCCTTAGCGAAGCATCATGGTTTTCACACCATATCGTAGATTGAGAGGATCATACGAATCTGAGACCAAGATTATGTTGTGTGCTATGCTTTCTGGAGTAGTTATACTCCCTTTGATATTGTTTCTTGAATGCCATTATGAGTACGAGGCAATGGCAAGTTTGAAACCTGTTTGTTTCTGGAAAGAAGACTCTGACATGATGAACAATTCTTCAATACCCCCAACCCAATTAGGCCTTAACCCCTCATCTAGCATTCGTCACACACGCTCCCTCAAGAACTTTTCTCCACCACCTTTTTATCAGCATGTAATATGCAATCATTCATTCACTGAACGCATTTGGATGAATTGGACAAATAATAACCCTTATAAGTATCAGTTACTCATATGGAATGTGTCCACAGCTAATGAAACCGATGCATTATGTTTGTTTGAAGGTTCACGGAAAATTGTTAGATCTTATAACACAGAAATGTGCACAGTTAAGGTTGCTAATTACACTGGTATCTGTGCCACCTTATTTAATATAAGTTCTGATGGTAAGAGAAAACCACCTAAACAGGTTTGGGATATATATTATAAGAAAATTAGTAAGGTTGCATATCAATGTAAACAGACAGGCCTTATTACTTTTAATAATGATTATACAACTGGTACCATTAATTGGAAAAGGGGACAAATGTTAGTCATTATGAATGACACTGCAATTGAGAACTATACACTACCTTATATTTTTACACCTTATTACTGTCCTTTATCCTCTACCATAGAACCAAAAGTCAACAACGACACACACACACCTATTCCATCCACATGTGTTAATACAACTGTCTTCTTACAAGCTGTACATGTGTCATTAAAAATCACTACTCCTGTTGTAACATTATGTAACACAGCAAACAAAAGGCAGAAAAGGGAATGGTATGACACACTGTTAGGAGGTGCTGGAACCACTATGGGTATACTAAATAGTATAGACATGGAGACCCTCAAGAATAAGTTAAACACGGCCAGCATGCATATAGGGACTGGTTTCCATGCTACTGCAAACTGGGCTCCAACTGTTGTTAAATCACAGGTTACAGGATTGGATTTAGATAAATCAATGTTTAATTATTTAGATAATTTAACTGTTGCAACTATGAAATTCACAACAGGTCTAAGTAATTGGAGTACTTGTGCCATCAGGTATTTATTGATGCAACACCAAAGATCGGCATTAGAAGACATACTAATGATTCCTAAATTAGAGAAGATTAGAGGAATGCTTAACCTCACAGATAATGAATGGTTACTTCTGAAACCCCAATCCACTAAATGCAATGAATGGTTAACTGGTACTGTATCACATTTTTCATGCTCATGCTATTTTACATTATATCATACAACATCAAAGGATGTTAAATTAGCTTGTCAATTTAACACATTACCAGTACCAGTTTATGATCTCTTTGCCAAGAATTTAACCTGGTGGGCACCCACCTTCACAGGGGACTATATTTTTCCCAAAGATAATATGACCTATTCCCTCAAACACTGTGTTCTCACTGACAAAGGATATGCATGTCGACACTCGTCCCCTATTTACGAACCATGCTTACTCCAAAATGAACTTAACAAATGCATATGGCACATATATCCTGAAAATTATTTTACCGTGACAGAAATAAGCACACAACCTATCTGTTTAGCAACTAATCTCCCTACAAAGATAATTACTAGCACTACAAGTATTAATCTACCTCTCCCTTTTTCAGGATGTTTGACTAATATTACCTGGTTAGATCTTAATGGCACCCAATATTATTTCAGCGACACAATTACTTTAGACCCTATTAGGCTCGCTGCCTTTTGAAGATTACCATTTACCTCTTGAGACTATTGTCTCCTTAATGAAAGGAAAACAAAATATGTTTAAACATCTTGTTACACATAATGATGCTCTAGTACACACACAGGTAGCCACACATATCCTAAAAGGAGAACTCCTTAAGGTGAGTTCACAGATTCAGAATGATTTAGTCCACCATTGGTACGATGCTTTTACTGGTTGGTCTCCTACTGGATCCCAGATAATGAAATCATTCTTCTATCCTCTTGTTATTATAGTCCTGATTTTATTGTGTATGATTTTGTATAACTGCCATCTTACTTGTACATTGAGAAAGAGAATACAGAAATTAATCCATAATGCAGAACAAAAACAATTGGAAACTCTCCTCTCTGCCACTGGAGGGTATCAACCCATCTTTAAAACTGGGCCTTAGGAATTACCACATGGGAATCGAGGTGAAGAAATTAATGAAAGTCCCGCAGGGAGTGACTAGCACCCCTGAAAATACCATGTGGAAGTTTCTCTGTCCTGGTAAGATTTTATCGATAAGATGAGCAAATTAATTGCTCAAAGAGGGGGATGTAAGAAATATGAAATAGTTTCCTTGTTTATATGTATTTTATGCTTTTATAAGGTTTATAACATGATTATTGCTGACTGAAAGGATATTAAATACTTAAACTCAATTTACGACATAATATGCTGACTGTGACAGACTAAGGTATTTCTTCTATAGGATGTAAGACAATGCTAAAATTTCAGGATGTCTTGCCCATTCCGATTTCAGGATATTCTTTTCCAGACGTATGCAAAAAACTTATCTTTCCATTGTCAGAATAACATGCAATATATAAGGAAGTAATAAATCGTATAATCTGTATTGTATTGCATATCTCATGACTAAGGTAAACAAAACTGTATAAATGCTAGCTTCACAGTAATACAGATTGAGAACTTGTTAAGCACCTTTTCGTGTCTGTCTGTTATTTGCTAAGCAAGTCTCTCCCGTCAATTGATGTGGTGAACTAGGATCGAGAACCGAGGGGAGTTGAGTCCAGGACAGCATTAACCCTTTCAGACAGGCTATAGACACCAGAATCCCTTCATTAAGCTGCAGTGGCTCTGGGGACTATAGTGTCCCTTTAATGTGAGGTAAATTAGAGATTAGTGTCACTAATATAGATTGCCTACTTACAACCAGAGGAGGATGGTGATGGGCTCTGGCTGCAGTTTGGCTCCGCTGGTCTGGTGTAGAACAGGATCTCTGGAGGCTGTTTGTAAATCTGGTCACAAAATTCAATGTTCTGGGAAGCAGCTCTATTTTTTGGCGCCCCTTGCACAGCTCAATTCTGGGCCCCAGGGCCTGACAATGAGTATGCAATTAAGGCCCACCCATAAATCCACCTACATGTTCCACCCATGAGTTCGCTCACAGGGAGTGGAGTGCGTAGGTGATGTGTTATGTGTTATTGTAGAGGATCTAATGTGTGTGCTTATGGAATGTAGTGTATAGGGATACCAGTTTGTGTAGGTGAAGCAGTGTGTGTTTGTGTATAAGGGATGTATTGTGTCTTTCTGGTTGTGTGTAAGGGATGCATTGTGTGTTTCTGTGTATGTGTGCAAAGGATGCCGCTTCCTATGAGTCCGGCCGGGTACAGAAAAACGGATGTTCCTGTATTGCGGACCAGAGAGATGCTTGGCCACGCTACACAGGGAAGGGGAGGTGAGAAGAGAGGCAGTGCTGCAGCCGTCTGAGGCTCTCTATAGAGCGCTCAGGTGGCTGCAGCATTAGAAGTAGTGCGCTAGGCGGCGCTAGGCGGCGCTAGGCGGCTGCATAGTTCGCCTTATAGGAAGCGCTGGCCCTGACCCCAACTAGCTAAATATATAATTTTAAAATATTTAAATTAATTAATAAAATCAATTTAACCCCTGAGGTTTAAAATAAAATGAAAGTTAACCCTCAGGGGCTAAAAAAATAAAGAAAATCAGATCACAGTAAAATGCAGTACCTGTCAATTAATCACTGTAGTCAGTGCTTAATTGGCAGGGAAGGGGTTCATTTTATTAAAGCAGGGAAAAGGGGGGGGGGGGTGAGTGGGATTTAACTTACACTTTATTTTTTACAGTGAGAAGCAGATCACACTGAACGCGGAAGTGCAGGGAGCCGGATCAGAAGTCCCTGCAGCACATGTGCTTGAGGGACAGGCTGTCAGAGCGATCACAGCTACAGGGACAGCACAATTGGGTGCTTCCGGTCTGCCTCAAATATGGTTGTGGCAATTTGGGGTTAATTTTAGCGCATGACGGACCTATGATTCAGTGTTAAGTGCTTCTCCAGCATGACGAACTTGGTCCGTCATCCGTCATTAAGGGGTTAAGTTCCTTTTTTAGCCTGTAATGCATTTGTATTTCACCTCATCCATATTAGCAAATAGTTTTTTTTTTGCCATTTGTCACATTCTGGGCCAATGATGACTACCACAATAGCTGATCATTTACCCAGTCCCGGTTCTGAAGGGATTACATTGATGCAGAGTATATTTGTGCTTATGTGCATTTTTTTTATTCACCACATAATGTAAATGGTATGTGGTAATGCACCTGTTTTTATTTCAGGAGACAATAACGTTTATAGAAAAAAACATACCTTGTAAATTTTTCAGTTAAATATTTTTCATTAATATTTTCTACTTCCTGAAGGCGTGTAGGGGAGAGCTATATGATGAGCCAGTCCTGGCAGCTGATTGTACGGATGGTGTTATCAACATCCCTGACACCAATGTAATTGAAGTGGATGCTGCATCCATGTACACATTGCTTGCTGGTGCCGACTTCATTATGTGTTATTTTGTAGCAGAAGGTAACATAGTTTAATTGTATTTCTTACAACAATTAAAGATTGGCTGCATTAATGTCAATAAAGTTGTACTGAAGTTTGCATACCCTGGGAAAGATTCTGAAATTATGGCATTGATTTTATAAATATGAGTGATCATGTAAAAAAAGTATTTTATTGAAGTATAGTGATCATATGAAGCCATTTATTATCACATAGCTGTTTGGCTTGTTTTTAAATCATAATGACAACAGAAATAACCCAAAATGACCCTGATCAAAAGTTTACATATCCTTGAATGTTTGGCCTTGTTACAGACACACAAGGTGACCGTGACACACACAGTTTAAGATGGCACTTAAAGGTTAATTTCCCACACCTGTGGCTTTTTTTTAAAAAAAAAACAACTTTATTTTATCTTGCATGAAAAAATACAAATAAGCATGCAATGCCACAACAGCGATTGCTTGCTTGTCAATCAACATTTAAGAGCAATTGTTGGCATACAATAACACTGCACATTTTATGTTAAGAGGTGAGACAACTGGCACAATCCATCTATCACAATATGGGCATCCTAGCAGATGAGACAGCCATGAGTAGGCATTATCAGCAATATAAGATGGCATGTGCCTTACTCAAGTAATAAAGTATGGTGCATATACATATTATAGCACGTGTGACATGGTGGACTGTGGGTTTTATTATTATGTGTCTAACCGAATAGTAGGTGATCGGGTATGCTGACCCTAACTTAGTGTCATATAGGAGGTAATGAGAGTGCTGGTATGGAGTGGAAAGCTCCTGGACGCCTCCATGTCCATGAAAGTCTGTTAGTGGTGTTGTGGGTATGTGGTGGAGGCTAGAGCCCCCTTAGGATGACAGTAAGATGTGATATCAAGATTTGCTCATGGGGGATATGTAGATAGCATGGGTAGTATGCTAATCCCAGATGTGTAAGTATTACGAGCTATAAAGAGTGTTCAAAGGAACCCCTCACAGGCATTTAAGCACATTATGCAAATTATGCAAGCACATGAATAAATGATTAACTGAAAATAAACTGAACAAATTATAACGAGTAATGCGAGTAGTTGCAGGTAGTTCAGGACACCAGGGTTGCTGATGAATCCCCACGTCGAGCCGCAGGTACGAATGAGTGAACTTTCGCTGGATCTGCTTGTGGGAGCTCAAGGGTCTGCAGAGTATCAGGAATCGTGGCAGTGCCGGTGATTTTCAGCTTGACAGTTTCCCTCGGTATGATCAGATTCCTGGATGCTCCCCAGCAGTATGGTATTTTATGTGCAAGGGAATACTTTGTCAGTGGACGCAGAGATCGTCGCCACTCTAGGGTAGCTCTTGACAGGTTAGGAAAAATTGCTAAGAAGTGTTCCTCGAATTGCAAAGGTGACCTGTTACGGACGGCCGTCATGAAAGCTAGACGGTCTTGGCTCTGCTGGAAGCGGACTATCATGCCTCTGCTTGTGCCTTGAGTGGCTGTGTATAAATAGTCAATGAGTTTGTTAGCGCTCATGTGGATGCACTGAGCAGGCTAAATACTGAACCATGGGGAGCAGAAAAGAACTGTCAAGAGACCTGCGTAACAAGGTAATGGAACCAAGAAAGATTTCAGCCACAACAGCCAGAAGAATTGTTCAGAATACAAAGAAAAACCCACAGGTAACCTCAGGAGAGATACAGACTTCTCTGGAAAAAGACTGTGGTTGTTTCAAGGAGCACAAAATGACGACACTTGAATAAATATGAGCTGCATGGTCGAGTTGCCAGAAAGAAGCCTTTACGGCGCCAATGCCACAAAAAGCCCGGTTACAATATGCCCAACAACAGCTTGACACACCTCACAGCTTCTGGCATGCTGTAATTTGGAGTGAAAAGACCAAAATAAAGCTTTATGGTCACAACCATAAGTGCTATGTTTGGAGAGGGTCAAACAAGGCCTATAGTGAAAAGAACACCATCCCCACTGTGAAGCATAGTGGTGGTCCACCAATGGTTTTTTTTGAGGGAGTGGAGTTCTAAAGGCATGGGAAAGCTAGTGAAAATTGATGGCAAGATGAATGCAGCATGGTTTCAGAAAATACTGGCAGACAAGTTGCATTCTTCTGCACAAGGCTGCGCCTGGGACGCTTGTAAACTTTCCAGCACGATAATGACCCTAAGAACAAGGCCAGTGGTTACAGAAGAAAAAGGTGAAGGTTCATGTGGCCATCACATTCTCCTGACCTTAATATCAATGAGCCACTCTGGGAAAATCTCAAACGTGCAGTTCATGCAAGACGACCAAATACTTTGCATGACCTGGAGGCATTTTGCCAAAACAAATGGGTAGCTATACCACCTGCAAGAATTAGGGGCCTCATAGACAACTATTACACAAGACTATACTCTGTCACTGATGCTAAAGGGGACAATACACAGTATTAATAACTAAGGGTATGCAGACTTTTGAACAGGGGTCATTTCATTTTTTTCTTTGTTGCCATTTTTTTCTTTGTTTTGTTTTATGATTGTGCCATTCTGTAATAACCTACAGTGGAATATAATTTCATAATTTAAGAAATAAAAGAAATGTGTTTTGCCTGCTCACTCATGTTTTATTTTAAAATGGTACCTATATTACCAAATCTCCAAGAATTATGCAAACTTTTAAGCACAACTGTATATATCCTTGATATTTTTTTGATTCTTAAAGGACCACTATAGTGCCAGGAAAACATACTCGTTTTCCTGGCACTATAGTGCCCCCACCCTCAGGGTCCCCCTCCTGCCCAGCTCTGGAAAGGGGAAAAGGGGTTAAACTTACCTTTTTCCAGCGCTGGGCGGGGAGCTCTCCTCCTCCGATCCTCCTCAGTTCCTCCTCCTGGGCTGAATGCGCACGCGCGGCAAGAGCTGCGCGCGCATTCAGCTGGTCACATAGGAAAGCATTCATAATGCTTTACATAGACATAGCAGTTTCTCTGAAACTGCTATGTTTATGAAAAAATGGGTTAACCCTAGCTGGACCTGGCACCCAGACCACTTCATTAAGCTGAAGTGGTCTGGGTGCCTAGAGTGGTCCTTTAAAGGATCACTATAGGGTAAGGAACACAAACATGTATTCCTGACCCTATAGTGTTAACATCACCATCTAGCCCACCTGGCCCCTCATGCCTCCATAAATAAAGTAAAAATCTTACTGTATTCAAACCTGAAGCTGTAACTCTGTATGCTGACATGTGGTAGCCTGATCCAATCACAGTGCTTCCCCATAGGATTGGTTGAGACTGATAAGGAGGCAGATCAGGGGCAGAGCCAGCATGATTCAAACACAGCCCTGGCCAATCAACATCTCCTCATAGAGATGAATTGAATCAATGAATCTCTATGAGGAAAGTTCAGTGTCTGCATGCAGAGGGAGGAGACACTGAATGTTTGGATGCATTTTAGACAGTCATGACCCAGGAAGGATCTCTAACAGCTATCTGAGGAGTGGCCAGTGGAGTTATCACTAGGCTGTAACGTAAACACTGTGTTTACAACAAAAAGCCTGAAGGTAATGGTTCTACTCACCAAAGCAAATTCAATAAGCTGTAGTTGTTCTGGTGACTATAGTGTCCCTTTAAGTAATCTTACTCATTGTAGTATTTGGTAATATGTGATGGGTAAACTAAAATGTTGGCCTTGATCTACACAAATATGTCTGTTTCAATTAGACCATGGGTTTTGTAATGTTTTCCTGTGAATTGATGGATTATGAAAAAGTTAGTTGTCCTTAAAGTGATAGTCCAAGTACCATGAAAAACTATGCTCTTTGCATTGCTTATGGTTCAAGTGACTTCCCTGTCTCTGGATTTCTTCTGTCTAAGGCTTATATGTGGCATCTGCAAACATGCTGTGGATTGAATGAGGAGTTAAATCACCTCCCCTGGCTGTGACTGTGACTGTGCCTGTATGAAAAAAATGGCTTCATTTTCAATTGGACGTTAACTTACTTTAAAAGTTTAATTTCCTGCTCTGTAACTTGAGCTTTAATCACACACAAAGGAGGCTACTGCCTGGTCTAGCAGGCTATTAACAGAGCAGGAGATAAGAAATTCTAAATTAAATAGACTGTACAATAAAGTAAGATTAAACATGATATCTCTCTTTACAGGAATTGTTTACAAAGCTGTGTAAGTCACATGCAAGGAGGTATGGCTAGGGCTGCATAAACAAAGTGATTTACCTTCTAAATGGTTGCGAACTGAGCAGTGAGACCTCAGGTCTACACACCAAAACTGCTTCATTAAGCTAAAGTTGTTATTGTGCCGATAGTTTCCCTTTTAATCTGAGTATGTGCAGCAATTCATAGCAAAATGCTGCACATACAGACTCCAGGCACTATGCCCAATTGAAATTACTGAAGTGGTTATGGTGCTTGGAGTAACCCTTTGAAGCCCAAACTGTCACTCACATTGGGACAGGATTGTTATAGCAAGACTGCTTGTTTTACACCTTTCAAACGGCATCTTTGTTTTAATGTTTGTTTCTGTTAAGACTTAAATGGACACTATAGTCACCCAGACCACTTCAGCTCAAGGTTAACCATGCTGATGTAAACATAGCAGTTTCAGAGAAACTGCTATGTTTACATTTGAGGTTAAGCCAGCCTCTAGTGGCTGTCTTCCGTATAGCCACTAGAGGCGCATCTGCGACGCTGGAGGCATTTAAAACCTCCATCACGCAGAGCATCAATAGGAAAGCATTGAAAAATGCTTTCTTATAGACACTTTGAATTCGCGCGCGGCACCGCCGCGCATGCGCTTTCCGCTCCGCTGATATCAGACGGGGGAGCTGATGTCGGTGGGGGAGGAGAGGTAAGGGAGCCCGGCGGTGGAAGAAGGTGAGTAACTGAAGGGGTTTTAACTCAGGGTACTATAGTGTCAGGAAAACCGATTTGTTTTCCTGACACTATAGTGATCCTTTAAATCCTTTTAAAAGAAATGTTGTGTATCTTTTGAAACAGAGGTGGAAATTACATGTACCTTAGGAACTTCAAATCTTAATTTGCAAAACTAAATAATATTTTTCTTATGGTTCAGACAGAGGTGAAATCTGGACCATGTTTTTAACCTAGTGAATTCAATGACTCCGTGTGTGATATCATGCAGGATGTTTTAAAAAATGGATTATTGGCCAGTGCAATGCAAAGATAGGGCCATCCACAAGATGCTAGAAAATTAATTGTCATAATATGCCTCAGAAAAGTCTCTGTGGCAATTATATCAATCGATTTGATGTATTTTGTAACAAGGCATAAGAAGTTATATGTTGTATAAATGTTTGTGTTCATTTTATTTGTCTTTAGGCTACTATTCACTTCGTGAAACCTCATTTGGCTCCTGGTATGTTCAAGATCTGTGTGGAATCCTTAAAACATATGGAACAACATTGGAACTGACCGAGCTTCTTACTTTGGTGAATCGGAAGGTGTCTCTGCACTCTGTGGAAAACTGCCTGGACCGTAACACAGTTGGAAAAAAGAAATGCCGTGCTTTGCATCCATGTTAACCAAAAAGCTCTATTTTAAGCCAAAGCAGAATTGATCTTTTTATCATTTTCATTATGTGATACTTTCTTCCTTAAACCTTTTTTTTATTAATAGATAGTTTGTTATTCCATTTGTATTTGTTGTCCCTCCCTAACAACTTTTGTTTTTGGTTTTTAGAAGGTGAAAGGAAATACAGTATGAAAAAATATTAGTTAAGTATCTGTTTTTCTGTTTGTAGGTTTAGTACTGATTGATCCTTGGTGAAAACAAAGACTGTGTCTTTTCAAAATGTTTATTGATCCTAATACAATTTAACTTTTTGAGATCACTACACTTGGCAATTGCAAGGTTTGTATAGGTTATTTTTATTAAGAGATGGTAGTGGCAAACTTACCCATTTAAGGGAGTTTGCCATGAGTTTTTAATATGTAGACAAAGAGATAGAGGGAAACCGCTGTCTATACCTATAAAAAATTAACAAAACATAGTGAAGCCCATATTATGCATGGTACAAAAGATATCCTCAATCATTCTTGCGCAAGCGTAGTAATCAAATTCTTATACTTATAAAAATCCTCGTTAGTCTTAAAATAGTTACTCATTATCACTAAAAGGAAACATAATATCAATCAAAAAGGTCCATAAACCTAACAGTTATACACCTAAAAAAACAATAGAACTCTAATAGTTCCATACAGATTCCTTAGAGTAGCTGTATTAAGCCATTAAAAAGCTATATTTAAACACCTTAATGACATGCATAAAAATAAATTGAATAGAAAAAATATAATGAATATAAAAATGATAGAAATAAAAATAAATATATATATATATATATATATATATATATATAAATGTATATATATATATATAAAAAATGTGAAAACATAATAGTATAATGTATAAACATAAACATAAAAACTCCACATATCCTAACACACAAATAATGAAAATATATATATATATAAATATACCAATATTACAAATATGCATAATATTAAAGAAAACAAACCAAATCTATATCAACATTTAGCCCCTTCGGTTCCAATGTTTGTAATCGATGTATCCAATATGTTTTTTTTTTTTTAAACAATTCTTTCAATCTGTCTCCCCCTCTCCAATGGGGAGGAACATGTTCAATACCTTTACACAAATTTTTTTTTAAATCAAACAAGGGACATGTTTGACAATGTATTGGAACCGAATGGGTGGTAAGGCCCTTTTTAATATTATTAAGATGTTCCATAATTCTGACTTTCAAAAGTCTCTTAGTGCGTCCCACATATTGCTTACCGCACGGACACAGTAGCAAATATACCACAAAATCCGTGCGGCAGCCAACACTTGATTTGATAGAGAAAGATTATCCTGTGGTTGTACTCTGGAAAGTGTCAGAATTGGATAAAAGGGCTCTCCTACATGCAATACAACTTTTGCAGCCTCTAAAACCCTTGTTTATGGACATAGGGACTGATTCATTAATTGTCTTAATATAGCTAGGCGCTAGCATATTTTTAAGATTTTTATTTTTCCTATAAATCATTCTTGGATTATTTGGTATTTTGAATGAAACGAGTTGGACCAGTGTCTTTTATAAATAAATACATTTTTTTACTGCTATTCTCGTTCCTGCTCTACTTTGGTATCCGGATTTCGGTATCCAGTGGATTTATGCTTAACCCCCCCCCTTAGGGGTGGCACCTTAAATGCGCATTCATAGCCGTCATCTTGTGAGTGCTTTTGATAGCGTGTCTTTTGTACCATGCATAATATGGGCTTCACTATGTTTTGTTAATTTTTTTATAGGTATAGACAGTGGTTTCCCTCTATCTCTTTGTATACATTTGTTCTATTAGGCACCTATGTGGATAAGTTGCCGCTGGGAAGCTGTCACAAAGTTAAGTTTATCCTTTGTATATTTTTTACACATACTATTGTAGTTTGTGTGTTGTTTTTGTATATTAATATGTATCTGTATTTGTTTTTCTTTTTGTGCACATGGAGCAGCAGAAAGGCCAGGTTTCCAATGTTATTCACAACTCCCGATGCTAATCCAGTACGCACCGAACTATTGTGTCACCTGTGTATGAATTTTATTAGATTATTTGAATTGACTCCCCCCTTCCCCCATAAAATGTATATCAATGCTGAATGGTACAAATCTGTACAGTTTGTATATGAAATAAGTAGCACAGACACTATTTTAGATTTCCAGTCTATCTCCACAAATATAGTAGGGTAACTGTCATATGTATTTACTCTGAGCGCTGTGAATTGGCACATGCTACTTATTACAGTTGTAATACAGGAAGTAATGGATCTCACACCCAGCAAGATTGAGGGATTCCAGACTGGTAGATCAATAAAAGAGTGATAAATTCAAAGAAAACCAATGTATAGAAACATAGAATGTGATGGCAGATAAGAACCATTAGATCCATCTAGTCTTCCCAATTTTTTAAATACTTTCATTAGTCCCTGGCCTTATCT